GTGGCGGTTGATCAAGGCGAAATTAGTCTACCGTTCCGATAATCATGTATTCTCATCTTTTCCATCACTTTTCATCATTCTCTTCTTTCCTTAATTCTATCGTTGAAAATAATAAATTAATCGTAAGTTTGCCAAAATTAAATTCCAAGAAAATTTCTATAAATAACCAATTTCGTTTTGTTCCCTTCCCCTTCTACCATTTTTAATATATATATATATATATTTTCTGTTTTTAATTTCATTGTCGAAAACAAAAAATAACAAGGGAATTTCCCCTAAGATTAAATGTAGTGAAAAATAAAGAAAATAAAGAATATTGCGTTTTTCTCCGCTCCTCTTCTGGACTCAATCTCTTTCTTTTATTTTTGAATTATGATGTTTAAAAAGACGAAAATCCGAGACCTCATTTCGGCCCCGGTTGTATGTCGTCAAAATGCCGCGGCGCAATCCCTCTCGGCTCCAGTCCTCTGAACGACCGGAAATGACGGTCTCTAGATGCGCTCAGCGCACCCATCCATCTTGCTGTCTTTGGGGGTCACTCTTAAAATCCAGTGCGCCCGGAATCAGGGGTACCCTGAGTTCTCATAATTCCTGCTGCCTGGTCATCCCAAAGCACTGTCAAAACGCGGACTTAACCCTGAGCCTAAACCCCTAAACTGCCGTTTTCAGGCGGCTCACTACTTGTGGCCGCCTGACAACGTGCTGCTCCCCACGAATAGAGTGGAGCCTTGTTTCCAAAAAAAAAAAAAAAAAAAGAGCTAGGCTCTTGGGTCGCGGTAGGTTTTCCACCCTGCATCCGAGCCTATTTCAGTGGGCTTCGGAGGAGTGCTTCGGGGGCTGCGAAGGCTAAAGGGACACTGTCTTTTTGCTTTTTTGCTTTCTATATTCTTCTCTCAACTTCTGTTCTTTTGCCTTTCACTACCTACTCCTAAGGCTATATAGAGGGGACCCCTGCAAGCATAGTTTTCTCTCACTGTGAAGGGGAGATTTCATGTTGCACCTTGCCCCTAATGTTTAGGGTATAGGGTTGGGGCCGCCAGTGGGGGTCTAGCTAACACAAATACAGAGACCTGCCAGTAGCTGCGCCTCCCTTTCTCGTCTGTTTTTCCTTTTTTGTTTTGTGTCAGTACAGGACTCCTATTTTGTTTCCACATTGTATGTTATGCTATGTCAGAAAACAGGGCACCGCTCCCCACCAATAGATGGAGACTATCCACTAGTGCTAGAGGTGTATGCTATTATCAACATCTCTAGCACTAGAGGGATTGTT